TAATGTGATTAAAGGTGCAGATTATTTTGCACCAGCAGTTTTATTCTACCTACATGCATTTTTGCATCTAATCCTCACTTCAGAGAGTATTATTTTACAGAATTGGAAACTTGGACCCAGAGCTGTTGAGAAATTGCCTAAGGTCACATAGCTGCCAAAGAACAGTGCCATGCTTCAAGCCCATCTCTCTCTTAAATCAAAGCCAGTGGTCTAAAACAACATTCTCAGCCTTGACATTACTGACATTTGGGGCCAGATAATCCTTTGTTTGGGGTGTCTGCCCTGTGTAAGATTTAGCATTATCCTTGACCTCTACCTGCTACACGTCAGTAATACCACTCTCCTCAGTTGTGTCTCTTGGGTGACAAAATTGCCCCTAGTTAAGAACCATATCTCTATAACTATTATCTTTTTAAAATTCCATTATACACACATATCATCCAAAGTATATTTTAAGGATTACCAGTGTTTTTATAGACCTAATAATGAATTTTGTGTATTTTGTAACCTGCCAGGTGGGAGGCCCCAGAAGTCTTCCCCAAACACAAGCATTAGCACAACTTTGAAAAGACAGTTAGCATTTTGATAGGTGGAGAGCCTGTGTGTACTTTAGGGATCAGAAGACACATTTGGGGAACTAAACCATCCTCCAAGGAAGGAAGCTGTGTATTAATATCCAAGGGCTTTGAAGAAAAAACTGCAGCTTTGGAACTTGACTTCAAGTTGAGGTGCTGAGGAATTGTTAAGCCTTTGGGACTGGTAGGCAATAAGAAATGTGGACTGAGAGGTGAAATAAGAGATCCTAGAATTCACTAGGCTACTTTGAATCTGTGTTAGGTTAGCAATGAAACAATATTTGGAGGAAATAATGGGCCTACTTATGCGTGTAGTAAATGGGATGTTTTCAAGCTTTGGTTAGCGTCAGTGTTTTGATGTTATTGGCCTAAGTTTAAGATGGGGAGATAGGATGTTTCATAGGAAGATTGCTGTAACTAGCATTCCCTGAGTTCCCAAAACTCTCTGCAAATTAACCTGTTCGAATCTTCCTACGTCAACGGCCCATTTGGAGGGTAACATGGGTATTTAATACTCTCTAAGAATTAGCTGCTCTAGGTGAGCATGCTTTGAGTATTGAGGCTCAAAAGTAAGCGTTACATGCCAAGACATATTTTGCCTTAAAATTGCAAGGAGGGCTAGATGTGGCAGTTCACACCTGTAATCTCAGCTCTTTGGGAGAGCAAGACTGAAGGCTCACTTGAGGCCAGGAGTTTGAGACCATTCTGGGCAACATAGTAAGACCCTTTCTACCC